GTTCACAATCTGGAAAAGAAAAACAAGCTTTCCTGATCTTTTAGGTCCCAAACGATTTCTCAATTTGGAATGAATTAGTCCAAAGGAAGAAAATATTCTTTCTACACTGGCAGAAGAAGCTACTGCTGTTAGTGAGATTATCACTTCAAGAGGCTCTGAAACCAAGTGCTTAACTGACTTCCACCAGTTCACTGGTGTGACTTTCTTTAAAACATCGTCAGCAAACATATATTTCTTGAATAGTTCACCCCTAGCCCTGAAGTTTATTATAGTTGGCATTATGGAGGGCTGATTGCTGGATGTCCATGTCGTAGCCAACTCCTCTTCTTCAGCAGTTAAGGTTTGACCCTGGTACCAAGTATTGAGAATATTTGCAAGAAAATGAGCTGGAGATAGTGCTTGTCCCATTCTTTTTTTTTTTTAATGCTTGTAATTTAACTCTGTCACTGCATATTTCTCTTTTAAAGATCTCACTCCATTCCTTCCAAATTTCAACAGCGTCAGGAATAAAACAACTATTTCCCTGCGTTTTGTTCAAGGCTACGGAAATAGGCTTCAGGGTGCTCAGCATCTGTCCAACATTTCTCTTATGCCCAATGTTGAGAACTTTGGCTGTGACAGTGACATCTATTTATTTTTTCACGATTTTGTTCACAAACGGTCATCAGATTAGGCTAGTTCTTGACATAGTGCTCAAAACAGTCCACTACTGAGTTCCATCTCACGTCTGTGGGAGAGTTAGCTTGGTTCCTCCCACTTTTTTCAGAGCAGCTGCTGCAAAGTGGTTGTTATGGAAGTATTTTGCAATTTCAACAACATTAGCCTTTATTTCAGGAACACTGAAGTCTTTGGCTAGGAGGTGCATCAAATGAGCACTGCAACCGTATGTTTTTGCGAATACAGACTAACACGGCTGCTACTCTGAAATCTGTTATTAGCTTAGGACTCTCTTCTAAATAATTTCTTCTCATCTTGGATACATTTGCAGCATTGTCTGTGACCAAGCTGCGTACTAGACATTTTTTTTCACAGTTTGTTATAGCTTTTACTGCTACTTCTTGTAAGTATTCTGCTGTGTGTGCATTTCCTGATATATCAATTGTTTCTGTAAGGAAGACATTCCCTTCTTCTGTTGTCACACAAGCACATACAACAGGATCATTGTGGACATTGCTCCACCCTTCGAGACTCAGGCTAACAGTTTTACCCTCTGGACCAGGGGGTTGGCATCCCTTTCAGAAGTGGTGTGCCGAGTCTTCATTTAGTCACTCTAATTTAAGGTTTTGCGTGCCAGTAATACATTTTAACATTTTTAGGAGGTCTCTTTCTATAAGTCTTTTTAATATATAACTAAACTATTGTATGTAAAGTAAATAAGGTTTTTAAAATGTTTAAGAAGCTTCATTTAAAATTAAATTAAAATGCAGAGCCCCCTGGACCAGTGGCCAGGTCCTGGGCACTGTGAGTGACACTGAAAATCAGCTCTCGTGCCGCCTTTGGCACACGTGCCATAGGTTGCCTACCCTTGCTCTAGACCGTTTGCACATTGCTCAATTTCTCTTTCATACACTTTATCCAACAGAAAAGGAGTACTTGTGGCACCTTAGAGACTAAGGTGCCACAAGTACTCCTTTTCTTTTTGCGAATACAGACTAACACGGCTGTTACTCTGAAATTTATCCAACAGTTTGCCTGTGACATCTGCTCTGTTGGGTGGACTGTATCCTGGTCTTAATGACTGAACCATGTTAATGAAGTGTGGGTTCTCAATCATAGAAAAAGGAGAGTTTGTTGCATAAACAAATCAGGCAATTTTTTCATCAATTACCTCTTTTTATAATCTGCTGGTTCTTATCACAAACTTATCTATGGTTGTTTCTGGATGATGGAGATTTTTTTTTTCTTTTTGCTACAGGTGATAGATATACTGTGGCTATGTGACATACATGATGTGACTGAAACACTGTCATTGGCAGATAACTCTGAAACTATAGAAAATGAGGGTGATCTTGAAGGTGGATAGTCTTCAGAATCCTGTATGTTGAGGATGGATTCTCCTAAACAAAATAAGCCCATGCCGTTATTTAATTATTATTACCATACTGCTTATTTAGTGTTACTCATTGCATTCACTGACACTCAGTACTACTCTAAAGGTGAAATTGTAAAAGGAAGATCTGCCTGTTGCAGCTATTTATTTTTATCACAACTGCATCTAAAATGATAGTATCATAGAGTAACAGCTATATTTTTTGCTCAAACATGAGAATTCAAGAATAGTCCAGAAGGAAGACAGGCAGTCCTTAAGAAAGAAGTATGAAATAAAAAAAGTTTATCAACCTGAAGATCCTGCATGTTCAGACATGTTCCTTTCATCATCATCTATGCAGCTTCCTCCTGAGAAGGAACACTTCTCATGGTGTTGTTTCATTTGGGCAACCAGGCCTTGCATTTCTTTGTTGCACTGTTTGCATTTTGCACGCATGCCTGTCTTACCCACAGGTAGAGGAAGTTCATTAAAATATTCCCAAACTGGGTCTCTTTTACGGCCTGCTGCCATTATGGGTTTTCCCTTCTAGTGAGAGAACAGTAGGGTAGATCTCAAATCAAAGAAGGCTACACTCAGCAAGACCTCAAGACTTTGGAATATGCTGCTCAAACAGTTTCACTTTTGTTTCTACTGCCTCTCCCTCCCTTCTCACATTTATCTCCAGACTTCTTCTCCTTGTCCAGATCTATTCCACCCCCCAACAATCTTCTATTCATTGAACTTTTTGAAACTTTGCACTTTTAGAGAGAGGTAAGGGATTGACTCTGTGTACACAAATTTGTGGAGGGACAATAGGGTTGAGGTCTGTTGTTTCTCACCTCTATATATTTATAAACATTTTTGCTGTTAACAAGCATGTTATCTCTGGAGACACAAATCCACAGTTTGAGAACTGCAAAACTAATTTCTGATGGTATCTTCTAGACTGAGCACTGCGTCCCATTGGGTAGATAGAAACATTAACCTAAATAATCTATACTGGAACCCCATAAGATTGGGTTCCTAATCCATGAACTATGGGAACTCATTTACAAAACTTTTTGTAAACATTGCATGAATATATTCTCATACTATAGAATTAATAATCCCTATTCCGTAGTGAGATATCTTTGAGCTATCATGTATCTTAATTAAAACTATCTTTAGATAAAATGCTTTTTGAGGAAAAAGCCTATCAAAAACTTTTTTACAAATCATTGATTTTTATCCACCCTGCTTTGCTGCATTGCACTGTAGTAGGCCAGGAACAGTAGCTGGACTCTGCAGCAGCTGTGTGACTCATACTCTTGGTTGAGGCCTCAGTAATGCTGGAGTACCAAACCTTAATTGAGTCCAACCCTTTTCTTGTGTGCTGTTGTGCAGCGTCTCTTATCTCTGCTTTCTTCCCTGCAGATGAATGAGATGGAGATCTCTCGGGCAGCAGCGGAGCGTAGTCTGCGAGAACATATGGGCAACGTGGTGGAGGCTCTGATCACCCTCACCAACTAACCACATTCCTACTGGACCACTTTGAGAAGGGAACGAGGGAGGAAGACTCTTATTGGGACTTCATGAAATGTCTTGTGCTGTCACCCCTGCCATGTGCACTGCCTTCCCAATAACTGTTTGACAGAGTGAGACTGGTCAGATGCTACATGTATTAACTTATTGAAATAAAGACATCCGTAACCTTCTGTGGATGCAGTTTGTAAAGCAGCTATGAACAGGCTCTGAGAAGCCTGAAAGAGTGTGCTACCATCCACCTCTTGTAGACAACTTTGACCACAGTGCTCTGTGTAGGTGGCAGGCTACTCGCACACCTGTGTCGCATGGTGCTGTGCTGTGTTAGGAATGAGTATGGTGTCAGAAATGAGACACATGAGATCTGGCCTGTAAAGCTCACCAGGGTGGTGAGTACAGAGCTGAGGGAGCATTTTCTGAATGAAGTGTTCACTTAAACCCCCTTCAGAGAACAATGGCTGAGCTCTCAAAAGGAAGAGATGGGGTAACATTCCCACCCCTGCTGAATGGTTCTTTGATATAAACTTTATTCCCTTCTGCCATTATATTGCTCCATCACCCCCAAGTCTGTTTCTCTCCATGCTGTTCGCAGTCTAGAGCCTTTCTAGTTCTTATCTGAGCTCCACGGGCTTCAGTCTTTCCTCCGTTAAGCCCATATTATCTTCCCCTTTTGTCAGCTCCTAAAACCACATGGTCTTAGGGCAGAGACCTTCTCAAGCTTCTCTATTTACACCATGCTAGAAGCCCTGAGGTGTGTGGCATGTAACATGTCTGGGGTTAATTTAAGGGGAGGTTCTGGCTGACTCAGAGCCTGCCCCTGGTTTCAACACCTCACAGGCTGCTTTATAGGGTCACAGCTCCCTACTGAAACCCCCTGGCAAGCCTGGTTGTTAAAAAACTTGTCCTGGCAGCAGGGACTTAGCTCTTAAAGGCAGTGTAGAGTTGAAGGGCGAGAGAGAAAACTAGCTTCAACTTATGCCCAGTTAGGGGGCTGTGTGTTCACCCTCGCTCTGAATAGCTGCTGGAGGGGCAGAGCATCTCTTCAGTCTCTAGCTGTGGCCAAGACTGGCTCGTGGGGAATTTGTGTTTATTGCCTGCACTGACTGCTTGGTGTGAGAAAGCTGCTTCCCAGAGGAGATGGTGGGCTGTAGCTCTAACAGCTGAATAGCACAAAGCCAGGGCACCAGCACAGAATACCCCCCAAAGGAGAGCAGAAACAGTGCTGGGATACACAGCTGTAGCAGGCAGGGCTGAAGGGAACAGCTGATGAGTCACCGCCTCACTCAAAGCCAGGATTCCATCCAGCGCACACCAGCAGGTTTAATGAGCACAACTGCCCTAACCCTGCACCTGCTGTGAGCTGAGGCCCGCAGCCCCGAGAGAAGGAAGAGTGCCTTGCTTCAGCCACCAACGTGCCCCTTCCTCCCCCAGAGGGATAGCAACACCAGTCTTGTGAGAAAACAGCTTTTAATCAAAACTCAGGTCTTGTGCCTTAGGGCCTGGAAGAGCCCCATACCCGACTGTACAGGTAGGGAAGCCTAGAGCCAAGCAGAGGGCTAGGCCAAAGAGACTTGGAAGCCCCTCAGAGGTGGGGCAGAGGAGACTGTTACAGCTGTTCCAGAGAACAAAAGGGAACTACATTCCCAACTGTAGATGGGGTGTTGTGCAGAGGTGGGGAGATACTTTGGAGCAGCCTGTAGGACCTTGCTGCTAATTCCAAGAGAACTGGGAATTTGCTGCCCTCTGGCAGTGGGAATCTGGGAAGCTGTCTAGTTCCTTGGGGCTGGTGGGGGCGAAAGCCATTCAGCACTGGGTCTGGCTAGCCTAGCACAAGGATGGACTTTTCCTCTAATTCCAATTGAGCCAGGTGGAAAGTCTGTGCAGCCCCGCGCAGGTTACCAGGCAGAATGGTGAGAGCTCAGCGCTGGAGTACAGAATGCAACACCCAGCTCAACAAATGGAGAGTAGAAGGAATTGGCCAAGACAGGTGCACTTTATGCCCCAACGCACTCGCAAGATTTCTGGCAGGGTTAGGACCCATGGCAGACAAGTGCCTTTCCGTCCTGCTGTCAGCAGCATGACACTGTCCTGGGCACTCCCTTAGGTAGTTTTCCGCTTCTTAGCCGATGGTCTCTCAAAGACATCCCGCACACCGGCTGCCTTCTGCTTGAAGAACTTGGTGTTCTGTGCACTTTCCTGGCCCCAGGCAGAGTCGAAGGAGGTTGTGTCCTGATCCACCAGGTGTGTATACTTGGTCCGCCCAGAGCGCCCAAAGTTTTTGACCTAGGGAGAAAAGAATTGTGTGAGCAGCAACCCCCCCGCAAGCAGGACCTGCAGCATCCTCAGAGTACACGGCACCACTGCTCCACTGTGGACCAAGCCTCCGTGTCACCCCAGAGCACAGGTGCCCTCTAAGGTGCCCTGCTAGCTGAGAGCCCACCCAACTCCCCTAAGCCCATCTCCAGCACACACACCTGCATGACTTTAGGCAGGATGGTCTTGTTGAAGTGATCCTCCAGTGTGGGGGCACTGAAATCTCTTTTGTACACTTCCTCATCTTCATCCTAGGGAGGGACAGACATGCGGCAGTCATTTATAGTAAGCCCCCAGGGAAACCAGGTAGGGACACTCTTCACAAACAGCATAGTTCAAAGAGTCCTGGTAACAACACTCAAGATTCCCTCCTTGTGTCAGAATCACAGAAATTGGAGACAAGGCTTGTGTCCCATCTAGTCCATCTCCAGGGTCTAGAACATGATTAGCCTCAACAGTCCATATTTCAGGGCTTTATTCAGACCAGTGGCAAATACAGCAAGCAAAGAACCTCCCACCACATTTGTTTCTTGTAGCTTTTAGGCACTTTCCAAACATCCTACAACCCTCCTGCTCTGGGGCGCTGCACTAGGTTAGAGGGAAGGGTCACAGCATAAAGGGAGAGTCCTGGGATACACAAGACAACAAAATGTAAGCAGGTGTGCAAGGGGTCTCACCATTCAGATTCCAAGGCCCTTATTTTCATCTGAATGTGTCCAGTCTCAAACTCCAGCCATGGGACCATGTTATACCTTTTGCTGCTAGACTGAAGAGCCCATTGGTAAACATTTGTTCCTCAGGTAGGTACTTCTAGACTGGGATCAGTCACCCCTTAACTTTCTCTTTGTTAAACCAGACAGACTCAAGGAGCTCAATCTATCACTATAAGGCAGGTTTTCTAATCCTGTAATCACTCTCATGGCTCTTCTCTGACCCCTCTCCAATTTATCCACAGCTTCCTTGAGGGCAGGGGCTTTGTGGATGAGCTCAGGAAGGGCAGTGTGTGCAGCCAGCAGAAGCAGGGGTCTGTTTATGAGAAGGGCAGATGAGGCTAGCTTTAATGATGGGGCAGAAGTGACAAAACAACAGGCCACTTGATTCTACCTCTGACAGCTGTGACAAGCTTGCAAAGGATCCAGTAAAGGAAAGGCACCAGTGGAGGGATTCAGGGGGGACAGCATGCATAGAACAGACAAGGCAATGGATTCTGGCACCAACACTTCGTAAGGCAGCAGGAGGCAGCGTGGGAAGGCTGTCACTGCAGCAAGATGGCAAGTGATGAGGGCCTCAAGGAGAGTTTGAGTTGTAAAGGTAGAAACGAAAAAGGACAGATTCTAGAGATGTTGTGGAGGAAACAGCAGCAAGTTCTGGATGTGTGGGACATGGAGGAGACACAAATCAGCCCAGGTTATGGGCCTGAATGCCAGGGAAGAGATTTGGGTTGACAATGACAGAGAAAGGGGGAGTGGAAAGAGTGTTGGGCCATATGAGATCAAATAGTGATGAGACATCCACGTAGATCTGTCAGTCATTACCAGAGAGGTATTAGTGCAGTGATTCTCAAGCCTCTGAGTGCGACCCCCCCATACATTAAAAACACATTTTAATATATTTAACACCATTATAAATGCTGGAGGCAAAGCAGGGTTTGGGGTGGAGGCTGACAGCTCGTGACTCCCCATATAATAACCTCACAACCTGAGGTCCTGACCCTCAGTTTGAGCACGCCTGTATTAGTGGATGCATGAGAAAACCCCCCAGGAGGTCAAGTGACAATCAATTTCACTGTCAGGAAGCTTCCTGGCATTCAATGTAACTTCACCTTCAGGCAAGCCCGAATCACACCCTTCCCCCTCTTAGGGATTCACACCTGTCAAACACAGCAGACTCATCCTAGTCTCCTGACACCACACACACTTCGGTGGCTGTGTTGCCACTATGCAGCTGTAGCCCTTGTAATCTTTCCCTTAAACCAATCCTTCCCCTGAAGCATCCAGAACGGAATGCACTGTTCCAGGCGTGGTTGCCACAGAGCAGGGCCCCAGCAGTCACTCACCATGAAGAAGGCCCCACGATGGTAGTACTTCTGCAGGAATTTGTATTTGCCCTTCACTGCCTTGTTGGTGATGACCTTGCCATTGGCCCGGAGCTCAGCACGGCGCTCCTCCTCCGTCAGGTTCCGCATGCGCTCAATCTCAGCCTTCTCCTTCTCCAGTCTGTGCAGGAGGCATGAAGCTCGTTAGAGCCAGCCCTACTCTCACCATGCCCTCTGCTCTGCCCAGGGGACAGAAAGCTTGTCCCACTCACATCCCTGGCCAGAGACTGAAGCTCCAGGAAGCAATTCAACCCACTAAATTCCAGGGGCACGCACCAAATGCCCTGTCCCTCCAGGAGCTAAGACCGGGTGCCCTCTGCTCTGCCTTAGGCTGCAGACAGAGCAGGAAATGGGGAGGGGAAGATGCCCCCTGGTGGCCGTTGTCTTCTGGGTCAGAGACTAGAGACATTCAACCCCAAGCCCAGGCTGCGGCAGCACTTACGCCTCTCGCTCCTCGCGGTCCCGTTTGATGCGCTTCAGCTCACGCACTTTCCAGGACTCGTACTCCTCCTCATCGTTCTCGTCGTCCGTATCAAGCGCTTCCAGGGCAGCCAGCGAGCGCTTGTTCTCCTCCAGCTCCTTCTTAGTCTCCTCCTCCACGATCTGCAGAGGGGACCAAGCTGGGAACTGAGCCTGTTGCAAGCAGACCAACCCTCTCCCCCTCCCACAGATATTCTGCCCCACTGGACAGTCCCCCATTACCTTGAGCGTGTACTTCCGCCTCTCCTCCGCCAGCCGCTTTGCCTCCTGCTCCAACTCCTTCTGTTTCACGGCCTCTGCCTCTCGTTCCTGGACTGTAACTCGATCCTTCCTGGAACAGAGGGGCCATCACAGGCTTCTTTCCCCCTCTCACCGCACCTGACCCATCCCTCTCGAAGTCCCACACCAGCACTGGCTATTTCGCTCCTCTGGAGTCAGTGTCTGCCCCTGGGATCCTCACCTGTCTGGTGCTGCTCCAGGCCCAGCTGCCTTAGCAACTTTCCGAGCGGCCTCTAACACCCCCAGATCTGGAGAGAGAACCATTTCCTGTGGCACTCTGCACCTTACTGGCAATCACCCTATCACCATTGAGCGGCACCAACCCAAAAATAACAGCTAGTACCATGAAGAGACTCTGAGCCCATCCAGCTTGCGTACGCTGCAGGGTCAGACACTAAAAACAACAGCTGCCTGGAATCTATCACACCCAGACACTCCATTACACAGACAAATGCTGCATATCTGTGCCGAGACGGCACCTGACCTGCAGATAGAACCTGAGGTGCTATTAGCATGTGCCCCAGTTGCTTTCTCAGTTACATGAGAACGAACTCGAGCACCACTTCTCTGTGCACCGGCTGATCCTTCACGTTTTCCGTCTAGGCTGGCATTCTGTCCTCCTTCAGGTGTGAGCAATCCCCTACCCCCCAACAGCAAAGTACACCACCTACTTGCGGATGAAGACAGGTTTGAGCCGTGGCTCTGTTTCATCCTCACTGTCTGTGTACTCCTCATACTCAGACTCTGATTCAGACTCCTCGCCAGACCTGCCCTCGTCCTCCACTTCCATCACCTCCATCTCCTCATTCTTCCTCTCCTGGGCTCGCTGGCGCATCATCCCACGACGACGCTCAATTTCCTAATTGAGGCACACCAAACCCAAAGGGAGTCAGTGGAACTACTGACCTTCCACTCACCCCCAGTTCTCTTGCAGAGGGGTGGGGGAGGATGTTTGCCCCAAGGAAAGCCCGAGAGGGGCAGAGGCCCTAAGTCCATTCTAACTCCTTCATGCAGTGGGTGAAATGGATGGAATTTACTGGCATTAACAGTACTGATTCCTTGTTCCATAGAGGCCACACTCTGATCCACTGGTCTGCATACCTCACCATGCAAACCAGAGTGGGCTTCAGCCAATGTTCTCTCCCACAGCAAGGCCAGTGGTGAGACATCTGCACATAAGAGCTGCCATACTGGGCCAGACCAGTATCCTGTCTCTGACAGTGGTTAGTGCCAGAGCTTCAGGGAGAGTGTGCAGAACAGGGAGCTTTGGAGAGATCCACCCCATCTTCCCCAACAAGTTTCTGGCAGTCAGAGATTTAGGGTCACCCCGAGCAAGGGGTAGCAGCCCTTACTATTTTGGCTAATAGCCATTGATAGACTTGTCCTCCAGGAACTTACCTAGGTGGGTTTTTTTTAACCCAGTTTTACTTTTGACCTTCACAACATCCCATGACAACATGTTCCACAGACTGCCTGTGCATTGTGTGAAAAAGTATTTCCTGTTGTATTCAATGTTCTGCCTATTAATTTAATAAGGCATTTGTATTATGTGAAAGGGTAAATAATGCTTCTGCAGTCACCTCCTCCACACCAGTCACGCTCCTATAACCCTCTATCACCTCCCTCCTTCGTTGTCTCTCTTCTAGGCTGAACAGCATCAGTCTCTTTAGTCTCCCCTTGTAGGGAGGCCGTTCCGTACCCTTGATCATCTGTTGCCCATTAAGGACCTTTTCCAGTTACACTATATCCTGAGATGGGCAACCAGACTGCCCATAGTATGCAAGGTGTGGGCGTACCGTGGATTTATAGAGTGGCATTATGATATTTTCGATCTTATGATCTATCCCTTTCCTAATAGTCCCTAACATTCTGTTCGCTTTTTTGACCGCAGTTGTGCACTGAGATGAAGTTTTCAGAGAACTAGCCACGAAGACTCAAAGTTCTTGCATGGTAACAGCTAATTTAAAGCTCGTTATACATGTGTAGTTAGAATTATTTTTTCCAATGTGCATTACACTTTCCACTTATCAATTGTTGAATTTCTTCTGCCAGTTTGTTGCCCACTCATCCAGTTTTCTGAGGTCCCTTTGTAACGCTTTGCAGTCAACTTTGGACTTACGTATTTTGAATAATTCTGTATCATCTGAAAACTTTTTCACTTCACTGTTCATTCCCTTTTTCAGATTATTTATGAATATGTCGAACTGCACACAACCCAGTATTGGGGACCCCATTATTTACCTCTCTCTATTGTGAAAACGCACCATTTATTCCTACCCTTTGTTTCATATCTTTTACTGATCCATGAGAGGACCTTCCCTCTCATCCTATGATACTTATCCCATGTAACCCAAATAGCAAGTCGAGGCCATCTGTAGACAGACAGTTAACCTCTTTCAGATTCGTTCACATATTAGCCAGACCCATCTGCCCATGGATCTGGTACTGCTTTGAGCTGCAGGAAGCTGGACCCCACCCTGTGGAAACTCAGCTGAGAGAGCGTGGGGAACTGGTGCTTCCAGCACATTTGCAGCTCTGCACATACCTCATCGTCAATCTCTTCTTCTTCCTCCTCGCTAGTATCCTCCCGTTCCATGCGCCAGGCATCTCCCTCCACCTCCGAGTCACTTTCTCCAACTACTTCTGGCTCGACAATTTTGCGGTGCCTTGCGAGTCTATGCACAGACACCAAAGTTAACATTTCATTGCAATTCAACTGCCATAAAGCAGCAACCGTAGGCCACAGCCCATCTAAATGCTCTGGGGTGCTTCAAACTGAAGTCCCCATACATACACATCCAAGCTATTTGAGGACTTCAATAGCTCAGACATAGGTTAAGGGTTTGTTACAGGAGTGGGTGGGTGAGATTCTGTGGCCTGCGTTGTGCAGGAGGTCAGACTAGATGATCATAATGGTCCCTTCTGACTTTAAAATCTATAAGCCAGCCAGGAATTCTCAAGCCATTCCAACCCCACAATGACCCTGTCCTAACCCTCCTAACCCCACTGTTATAGCCCAATAATCACAGCAAAGGTGTATCTCAGCATGCCAAGCTGAACATGCGTTCATCTCAAATACTCAGGTAACTAAAAAACGTGGCTAGACCCACCAGTGTCTGAAATATAACGAGACAGTAACAATCACAGCACTTATGTACATGCTGCTCCAGTGCAAACCACGGGTTACTCTCCTTGGCAGTCTGAGCACCTAGGCTGCAGGCAGAGCTACAGCAGCAAAGTTTGGAAAAAGTAACATTTCTTCTCAGAAGGTTGGTTTACACGGTGACATTTAAGATCCAGTAGCTGGATTGCTCAGGAATAGACACCTCTGTTCATCCCACCTTAGCAAATGCAGCTTCCGCTGGGATCCTGCGTCTTCATTAGCAATTGTAAATATTGAGGCAATGCTAGAACTGACCCATAGATATGAATACTCCTCGTAGACATGAATTAGTGACTTGAGGTGAATTAAACAAACATTACTCATCTGTCTATCCCAATTAGATGCAGTAACATGATGTCCCCCTATCTCCATACAAGAATGTTATCCTGTTTTATAGATTTTGCTTTCCTCCCCATGTTAAGACCTTAAGGAGCTAGCTGTATTATTTATGGTCACTTTCAGAACTTGCTGACTAATTGCCCTAGCCTACATCTAAAGAATTATTTGTGACAATGTGTAGGGCTGTTTTTTCCTTCCTGTACCCCTCTATTTAAGATGTGGGGAATATATAAAAAGGACACTTCAAAAAGTTACACACCTGAAAAATGCATCCCTACAACTGACTCAAGCAAAGTCTAGTTACCATAACAAAAAGTTGAGAGAAAACCTTTTCTTTCCATATATTTCTTCGTATTTTCAGTTTGTTTACAGTGCCTTGGACAGCATGTCGGCAGAGTCAGCTTCAAAGGCTCGGTCTTTCACAAAGAGAAACTGCCGAAAACGTAACGAAGGTGACTGTAAAGCCACAGCTGTAAGGGTCTCTCAAGGGCAGGTGGGCCTGACGCTACTTGCTGTGTCTCTCTCTTTGACTAAGCCAGGGCTGTCATGGACAGGAGCTCACCTCTCCTCCACATCCTCATTAATGCGGTTCTGCAAGCGCCGCAGACGGGGGTCACTGGAGGAATCTTCCTCCTGCTCCTCTGGCTCCAACTCCTGCTCCTTTGCCTTCTTAATAAACTGGAACTCCTCATCCTCCTCGTCCGAGGACTCCATGGGCGCATAGTCTGGCCGCTTCCCCGACACATAGCGCTTCACCTTCACCTTCTCCATGGAGATCTCACCTGTGAGGAGGGAGGGGGATGGGTTACTGCAGACCTGTGCTTCTCACCGCCCCAGCACCCCAGGACAAAAAGGGCACAGCTCCCAAGACACCAGAGCAACTAACGCTGGGGAAAACCCACCTGGGCCCATCCCCCATGCTGAGACGCCACCCCCCCGTCTCCCCACGCCCCCCCCTCCCCTGAGACGCCACCCCCCCGTCTCCCCACGCCCCCCCGAGACGCCACCCCCCCGTCTCCCCACGCCCCCCCCTCCCCTGAGACGCCATCCCCCCGTCTCCCCACGCCCCCCCTCCCCTGAGACGCCACCCCCCCGTCTCCCCACGCCCCCCTCCCCTGAGACGCCACCCCCCCTCCCCCCCCCCCCTCCCCTGACGCCCCCCCGTCTCCCCACGCCCCCCCTCCCCTGAGACGCCACCCCCCGTCTCCCCACGCCCCCCCCTCCCCTGAGACGCCACCCCCCGTCTCCCCACGCCCCCCTCCCCTGAGACGCCCCCCCCCCGTCTCCCCACGCCCCCCCCCCCCTGAGACGCCACCCCCCGTCTCCCCACGCCCCCCCCTCCCCTGAGACGCCACCCCCCCGTCTCCACGCCTCCCCGTCTCCACGCCTCCCCCTCCCCTGAGATGCCACCCCCCCGTCTCCACGCCTCCCCCTCCCTGAGACGCCACCCCCCGTCTCCCCCCCCCCCTCCCCTGAGACGCCACCCCCCCGTCTCCCACGCCTCCCCCTCCCCTGAGACGCCACCCCCCCCGTCTCCCCACGCCCCCCCTCCCCTGAGACGCCACCCCCCGTCTCCACACGCCTCCCCCTCCCCTGAGACGCCACCCCCCCGTCTCCACACGCCCCCCCCTCCCCTGAGACGCCACCCCCCCGTCTCCACACGCCCCCCTCCCCTGAGACCCACCCCCCCGCCCCCCTCCCCTGAGACGCCACCCCCCCGTCTCCACACGCCCCCCCTCCCCTGAGACGCCACCCCCCGTCTCCACCCCCCCCTCCCCTGAGACCCACCCCCGTCTCCCACCCCCCCTCCCCTCCCACCCCCCCCAACCCCCCCCCTCCCCCCCCCCCCGAGACGCCACCCCCCGTCTCCCCACGCCCCCCCCCGAGACGCCACCCCCCGTCTCCCCACGCCCCCCCCCCGAGACGCCACCCCCCGTCTCCCCACGCCCCCCTTCCTCTGAGACGCCACCCCCCCGTCTCCCCACGCCCCCCCTCCCCTGAGACGCCACCCCCCGTCTCCACACCCCCCTCCCCTGAGCCCGACACCCCCCCGTCCCGGGCCCGCACCCCGCACCCCGGCCGCTCTCACCCTTCTCGTTGCGGACGGGCACGGCCCCCGCCGTGGACTGGATCGGCGGCTGCTTCATCAGGGCGCTGGGGACCGACATGGCGGCAGCTTGTGGCCCAAACGCGGGACCCACCGACACCGCAGACAGCCTCCGGCAACCGTCCACCCCGGAACCGGAACCGGAACCACCCTCTCACGGCATCACCGCCGAGACCCGGAACCGGAAACTAGCTGAGCTCTCGCACGCTCACTGACCGGAACTGCGTCAGAACGGGTCCGGGAGGAGGGATAGAGTTTCCGGAAGCAGATGATAGACTGTCGGCCCCGCGCCGCAGGGAATTGTGGGGCTCCCCTGCTCCCCCGCGCCGGGGGTTCCCGCGGATCTCGGCGACGCGCCCCCCCGCCTCAGCCGGGAGCCCGGTCCCTGGGGGCTCGGGCCCGGTCAGCCGGCGCTGGGAGCTGGCGGCTCCTCCCTCGCCGGCCCCGCCCGTCTCCGAGGGCCTGGCCCGGGGCAGCGCCGAGGATCGCGGGGAGCCGCGGTGTTTGCTCCCAGAGGGGGCCTGGCCTCTCGGGTTGGGAGGCGTCCCAGGCGGGGGACCCGGGGGCCGGAGGGGGCCCCGGGGCAGGAGGGCCGAAGGGGGCCCCGGGGCAGGAGGGCCGAAGGGGGCCCCGGGGCAGGAGGGCCGAAGGGGGCCCCGGGGCAGGAGGGCCGAAGGGGGGGCCGGAGGGGGCCCCGGGGCAGGAGGGCCGGAGGGGCCCCCGGGGCAGGAGGGCCGAAGGGGGGGCCGGAGGGGCCCCCGGGGCAGGAGGGCCGAAGGGGGGGCCGGAGGGGGCCCCGGGGCAGGAGGGCCGAAGGGGGGGCCGGAGGGGGCCCCGGGGCAGGAGGGCCGAAGGGGGGGCCGGAGGGGGCCCCGGGGCAGGAGGGCCGAAGGGGGGGCCGGAGGGGGCCCCGGGGCAGGAGGGCCGAAGGGGGGGAGGGGGGGGGAGGAGGGGGCGGAGGGGGCCCCGGGGCAGGAGGGCCAAAGGGGGGCCGGAGGGGCCCCCGGGGCAGGAGGGCCGGAGGGGGGGCCGGAGGGGCCCCCGGGGCAGGAGGGCCGAAGGGGGGGCCGGAGGGGGCCCCGGGGCAGGAGGGCCGAAGAGGGGGCCGGGTGGATGAGATCTGAGAGCCAGGCCCAGGCTGAGTAAGCAGTTGTAATGGGACAGACTGGGTTTAGGGGCGCCAGAGGGGCTGGTGCCTGGTGATCTCAGCAGCTGCCTCTGGGGCGTGGGCGTGAGGGAGGCTAGTGATCAGGAGGGATAACAAGAACCCGGACAAGGGAGGAAGGGGCGGTGTGGAGGACAGCAATGGGATTCAGGCATGGAGGCGGGGCGGTGATGATGGAGAATAAGGGAGAGCAAAGAGTTTGATGGGAGGAAAGAGCAGGAGCTTAGTTTTGATCTCCAGGAGCACGAGTCACATCCCTGCTGTTAGCGCCAGGTCTTGGTCCCTGTTGGGCAGTGGAAGAACCTAATTGCCCTGCGGTGACCTGCACCAGCCACAAGAAGTGGGAGGCAGGAGGGTGGGTTTGCTCTTTGCTGCATTGCATCCCTGTTTGGGATGTTGTGAGCCCCACTGGGCAGGGACCATTTATGCATCTGAGTCCTGAGGGCAACTCTCCGAACCTGCCCTCGTGCCAGGAGGCAGGTTAGCTCCTCCCTCAAAGCAGGGGCGGAAGTGATTGCCTCTCAGATGCCCATTGTCCAATACCAGAGCTGACTCAGCAGTGCCAGGCTAGGGTGGCCATGAACTTTGGGGCTATTCCATAAAACTCATCAGCCTGGATGTTAAATTGCTGAGCACTCAGAGCCTTGAAGTCTCCAATATCTCCATGGTGAGGAGCTCCCATAGGGGTGCCCCTGTGCAGTGGGGTGAGCTATATACTGTATTACAGCCTGCTGGGCTTGGAGACCTCCTGCCTTTCACCTGACAGCTAACAGCATGGCCATGGCCATCCCCCTTGCCCATTCATGCTGCACATGGTAACCTGCTGCCACCCAGCCAGGTGTCAATATGTACCAAGTTGCTTCCAGAGACAGAGCCATGATGAGATGGGTCTTGTATCGATCAGTAGGCCCCTCGGCCCTGACACTCCCATTCTGGCTACAAATTAAAGGTGAACCCAACGGAATGGCCAGTCACTGCAGCCATTTCCCTGCCCAGGAAACAAGAAGCCTGATGCCCCTTCCCAGGCCTCCACACTTCTGATTTGCAGCCACGCTATTCATCCTTCAGGGCCCCCCAGCCTGCCCTTCAGAGGGGCATAGCAGCCGTAGCTCAGTGTCTGAATAAGGACTTCCAGGGCAGGGGCCCCAAAGGTTTAATAAAAGGGCAGCCTCTTTCCTGGGCTGGGGGAGTGGGCACAGGAAGCCTTTCTCGGGTGCCTGGGACTGATAGAGCCTGTCGTGGCTGGTGCTTCCCAGAAGTGCCAGGCAGCAGAAGTGATTGTGGTCTGTGTGTTCCATCACAGTTCTGCTCCGGGGGAGTGGCCATGATGCACTGTCATAGCAGCTACCCAGGATTTCACAAATAAGCTGAGGTGTTAACCATTGCAGTGCGGTGGCACGTCACGGGAGCACTTGTTTGTTAACCACGGGGTGCGGCCACACCTTATCACAGGAGCACCTGCTTGGCTTGGTCAGCGTTCTGGAGAAAACTGCTGCCATGATTCATGTTGGACAGCCATCAAGAGGAGGTGGGACAATTCCAGGAGCCCTTGTAAGGCTGCATCAGGGTTACCTCGGTCCTATCTGGTCCCACCCCGCCCTGGGTTGCCCTAGAAATTGATTTCAGGCCGCGTCACAAGCACTGACCTCATTTCTGCAATTCTCTGCTACCTTCTTGGAAGAAAGGAAGAGGTTTCTGCTTCCAGGAAACCCAACCACTGGGGTGGCAGAGCCTGAGCTGCATGCTGGTGAGCCTTCCTGCGGAAGCCACAGCTGGGGGGCCTCAGGAGCTGGAAAGGTGGTGAGCTATGTGCTGCTCCTGCCTGTTGCTAGCTGCCCTCTTTCCCCAGTGGAAAGACCCACTTATGGGTCCAGTCCGCACCTGGCAGGACATTCATATGGATCTGAAAGTCAAACTCTCATCCAGTGGCTGGAAACAAGCCAGATTCGGATTAGAAATTAGGCCCAAATGTTTAACAGTGAGAATGACCATTGGACCAAAAATAACCATTGGACCAAACAGCCAAGGGCAGTGGTGGAGGAGTGTCCATCCCCACAAGGTACGGAATCAGTGCAGGGGTAGTTGGGTGACTGTCACTGGCCTCTGCTAGACAGGAGGTCAGACTTGAGGAGCACAATGGCCACTTCTGGCTTTGTACTCTGTGACCCTCAGGTGCTGCCCTAACGTCTAGACCAGGGGTGGGCAAAGTTTTTGGCCTGAAGGCCACATCAGGATTGTGAAATGGTATGTAGGGAAAACTGTGCCACTCCAAACAGGCTGGGCCCCACCCTGTATCTGCCCCTCCCACTTCCCGCCCTCAGAACCCCTGACCCATCCAACCCCCCCCCCATCCTTGTCCCCTGACTGCCCCCTCCAGGGACCCCCCAACCCCTCCTGGGACCCCAATCCATATCCAAACCCCAGGGCTTTATGTATCTGGTGAGACTTGTTTCATAGGCAGTAGCTAGCCGGACATGGGTTTGTCCTGTCATTGCTGCCCTGTCCTAGACTGTGGGGAGGGGGAGATCTCTGGTAGCTACTTCTTGGCCATCAAAGAGCTCCCCTGCCCCCCGCCCTGCAGTGAGGGCAGAACAGACCCCTGGCACCCCCAGGGTTACGCTGATTCAAGGGAAGCCCTAACGCTACTGATGCAGCGCAGCTGTGGGCCGGGGCACAGCTTCTACTGCCTGCCCTGGCAGAGTATCACAGTGCATCCCCCAAAAATAGTGCCATGTCACCACAGCTCAGATAGGGCTTCAGCACATAACTCAGCTGGTGAACAATGTAGATATAACAGGAAAAAGCTCGACAATAACATGCAAAGCACATGATGTCCCACTGGGCTGGAGTTTCAGTCAGAATTTCAGCAAGCCAGGAAATGCTCTTTCTCATTGGCTGTCATTCCAGATGACCTTGGAAGTTAACAATTACGCAACGTAAGAGGTGGGCATCAGCACTGGACCAGCCTGCTTTGATCCAGGTGCGTTTGGAAATTGCAAGTTCCCTCTGTCTGCAGAAGTCAAATCACCAGGGTCTCCGTCCCCAGAGCAGCAAGTGCTGCAGATGAATCTGTCGTAAAATCAGTACAGTTGGCTATTGGCCACAAATGGGACTAGGTTTCCTGGGCTGGATTCTGTCAGGGTGACCAATAGGAGCAACTGTGACGATCCCTCGATTGTGGGGGCTGTTCTTAGACAAGGTTTTGGATTCCACGTCTCCTGGCCCTTCCCTCTCAGTGGCAGGTAGCTCACAGGTAGCCTGAGCCTGTGGAGAAATGCACCCTCTCTGGACCAGTGTGCTGGCAGCCTGCCTTCTCTCTGGGCTTGTGACATACATCCCTCCACTCCTGCTCCAAGAGCCGCTAGGAAGGGCTAAGCCCAAGCTGTGTTGATGGGCTGTGGCAAGGTGGGGGATGCAGTTACAAATTGAAGCTTCCAGCCAGTCAGGAGAGAGGCCTGGCTCCAGAGCACCGTGCCTTGTGCAGGTTGGGGTACCACCAATATTTCCATTGCTCCAGGGCCATCCCTGCTGAGCCAGGTGAGTGGCACAGGCCTCCTTGGAGGGCTGGCAGCCTCAGGCAGGATGAGAACTCACAGCACATACGGCCCCCAGAAAAGGCACGTGAGAGGCCAGGACAATCTTGTCCCATCCCCTCCTGTCCCTGGGCTTCTCTACAGTCTCATGTGTAAGCCTCTGACCTCTTGGCCGTGGGCTCAGTTCCTGTCCCACGTGTGATGCCCTCGTGTGGGTGGGGCTCCTGCGATGATGGGCACATTACCAGTGGAGAGGCCGGATTCCCGACAGGGAGATTTAATTTGTATCAGAAAGTAATAAATGACCTTTCCCAGCTGGGCCCTGTGTGGTGATGACCCAGTTAACAATTGGCTCAACAAACAAAACTCCCAAAACTTACCCCTGTGAGTCCACTTTCCAGTCACAATGCCGATTCACTGTTATTCTCAGCAGCATCAAATTACCAGTGACTGTTTCCTGTGCAATTGCTAG